CTTCGAATGTTTTCTTTTGTAGTTTATGTAACAGTATAGAAAACTGTGTATCAAATCAAAAACGTTAAAATAATCAATGGACCATACCAAGGAACACGATTTTCTACAATAAATTTTGGAATTCACTGTATTTTAAAACACCGTATTAAATTTAAAAATCCTAATCTATTGAGAAGCATAACATTTTTATAATACTAAACAACAAATCTTACAAACTAGAAACATAATTATAATTCCATTTCATTCATGTGCGTAAGCTCAACACAAAAGCTTTAATTTCACGTGATAAATTCAAATAAATTGAAGAATAATGATTTTCTTTCTTATTTTGACTAAAAACACGTTCTTCTTGACAATTTTGTTTTTCTATTTTTAATTTTGAATGATCAATTGTTATTATTCAGAGTAGAGAAGTATTTTGAGGAAAAATGTACAATTTTCAAATTATCAATGGAGCTTTTTAAATTATCAATTTAGTAATATTCTTGAATTTAATTCAGAAATAATCTTAAAAACATAAAAAATATTATACAAAAGTTCAAAATTTATGAATTGATTCTATTGTAATAAATTTCTATTATAATTAAAATTTAATTCAATAAAATTTTACAAAATTTCCATATACAATGTAAAATATGCTCTTCGCCCGAAAATTAATTAAAAAATAATGAAGCTAAAGCGAAAAAATATACTCTAATTTTTTTATTTTTGCAAATAAATTGAACAAAAAAATAAAATAATTTAAATAAAAATTATTATATTTGTAAGATGATTCATTATTCCAACAAAAAAAATTTATTTAATTTGAAATAATTTAAATTTTTAAATTCTTGATTTATTTTTGAAGCTTTTACTATGGCGCCATCATATTTTTAATATGAATTTAGCATCAATTTTAAAAACTTTTCATATTTAATTAAAAAAGCACAAAAATCTCATGAAGGAATACATACATAATAATAAAATAAGCTCGTAACATGATTTTATTAATTAATAATTCAAATAAATAAATAAAATTCTCAAACTCTTATTATTCAAAACAATAAATATTCGATTAAACAATAAAAAATTTTAATTTGAACGGATTTAAACAAAAATTTAAGTAGAAGATTATTGTAAATTAATTTTATTCTAATAGAGCCTTAAAACTTTTTCGTATAATTTAATTAATTCTAATTGAAAAGTTCTTCTTTGAATATTATAATATTCAATGTTCCCGAACGATTCGGCATTACAATATTTGCATTGTTTATAGTTAATAAAGCCGATATTTGCATTTGCATGAGTTGTAGTTAATAAAAGTTCCCGAACGATTCCGCATAACGATATTTGCATTGCCAGGATTTTTTCGAATACATAGTTGCAAGTGTTTTAAGTCTGTAATTCTTTCCGGTACTAAAATTGCTGTGTCAACAACAGACGCACGAGCAGAAGAACAAACGAAGCGAACATATAGCTAAATTAAGAGTTTATAGGTGTACAACATACTTTATGGATTTGGAAATGATTTCTTATTGCTATTATTCTTCCTCTCTTATCAAACTTGTTTCTCCTCCGTACCGTGTTTATCAAAATTGTATCTTCTTCTCCGTAAATGAGATTTTTCTTCTATTATTCTATTCTTTATTTAAATAAAAGTTCGATAACAATATTCCATTTTTACTAAAAATTAAAAAAAAAATAAGCTTGTTTTGAAAATAAATGCTATTTTTTTTTTATTTATTATCCTATAATTTAAAATTATAATAAAATACGCATAAATATTTCTTCTAACTATTAATTAATTAATAAAATTAATAAATTCTAAAACAAAAAATATTTTTCATATTACAAATATTGTTGTATAAATTTTTTATAGCCAATTGAAAGTCACTTTATTTGCACTCTAGAACGCTTGTTTTTCTTAAACGATTTGGAGTTTATGCAAATTGTATGCAAATAAGTTAGGTACATGCAAATTAAAAGCAAAAGCTTTACGACTTGTTTTTTTTTTTTTGAAATTCTTTCTGATCATTTTAATTTTTTTTTATTCTTATATGTATTTAATGAAATATAACGAAAAAACAGAAATAATTGCGTCGCAATTAAGAAACAACGCGCGGTTTTCAACAAAAAATGTGTGTTCTACTTTTCTAAATCAATCCATTGTATGTGGTTATATTTTGAAATCTGTTATACAATTTGTACTATTCTATTCTATAGTTATGATTTTTGATATTGATTTAAGTGGTTTGATTTTATAATACGGCTTTTTGGTTAACAGGAATTTGTTATAGAGTCAAGTATTTTATTACATTTTCGAATAGATAGGCACACAAAATACTGTAAGCCTTAACTGGTATTGTTAAATATTTAAATTAAATGAGAATAGTCAAATCTCATCTTGTTAACTCTGCAGTACCTGTACGAATTAATGATCTAAAATTTTGATAATAATTGTAATTACTTAATTGCTTCATACAACTTTATCTTTTAAAAACACATTGGCTTTATTATTACTGTAGTCCAGGCTCAACTTTAGATCTGTAACTTAAATATTATATTCTTAATACAATCTACAAACTTTTGAAATTGCATGACAGCTAACAAAAAGGACTCATGAAATCATCAACAACTTCATTATGTTTTACTACTTTATCCTGTTATTATCATATTTAATTGTATGATTATTAAGAATAAGTTGTCAAGTAGATAATACAAACGATTTACATTTGATAATATATTGCAGATTTTCATAATCAATAACCCAAATATCTAAAAATAGGTACTTATTAAATTTTAATTGTAATAAAAATTAATTGTTTATTACTTTACAAAATTTTACAATAGAGTAATAATTCTAAAGTTTCAAGTATTTTGTATTTCTGAATTGGAAATTAATTAAGAACTCAATGTAGATATAAATAGCTCTTAACCCCAATAATTATTGTAAAATAAGAATAGTTTTATTTGTTTGAATAAAAACAGATAAACTTAATTTAAAAAAAATCTAATCAATATAATAAGAGCTCTTTACATTTTATCCCCCAGACTATCTAAAACTATAAAAAGAAACATAAATTATTAATTATTGTAATAAGTACAATTTTTATCAATATTTTTTGTAACACCAAAATATTCTTAGACCACTTCGACTACTATGATTTCTTGAGTGTATGCAAGATAATAAAATTATTTGAGACCAACATATAGAACTTTCAACCTTGATTTTATATTATTTATAAATAGAAATTAATCATAATTATTAATTACAAAAAAAAAAATATTTTAATGCGAACTATAATAAGGATTTTCAAACTGGTATGAATTTTAATGATAACCCAAAGATCATTTTTTATTTTATTGGAAGTTATAACTACAATATAAATAATAATTGATAAGTTTTTATAATTTTCAATTCGATTGCATACAAAATTTTGTGCATAAGATGTTCCAGTAGAAAACATTCGCAATAATCAGTTATCCAACGAACCACCCAACCATCGTAGAGTATCATTCAAATCATACTCTTTACTGAAACACTTTATTTGTTTGCCCGCCATATGGTTTTTATTGTAATAGGTACTGTACATATTTTTATTATTGATATTTAAAGTTCATCAAACAAAAAAATTGAAGAACGTAATGTTTTTTTTAAATATAAAATAATCTTGTCCTATTTTTTTTATATTTTGCAAATTTTTTTAACATTATTAATTGATAACCTCATTAAATTTTTTTTTTGTTTGAAAATTTAAATAATTTCCTTCAACTAACGTCATTATCTGTTTTAGCTAAATTCGACAGTACTATTTTTTTAATGAAATAATTATAAATATTGTATATAAATTGCGTTTCAGATAATTGGTATACTTTCACTATAAATTTACTTTCTTTTTTTTCAAAATAAAAATTTTTTTAAGAGAGTAGACTTGCTTTAATTACTTGCTTTTTTGATAAGATTAAATATCAAGCTTATGCAAGTACCCCCCCCCAATTATAAAATTGATTATATTTTCTGAGAAAATGAATACTGATTCATTAAGCTGCTTGAACGCAATGTTTTCGAAGGGGTCAATAGGATTTTGTGATGGTCTAAATAATTTGATAATGTTTAAAATATCTAATCAAGCCCTTATTCCTAACTGCCATAGTAGATATAAGTTCAACATTTTAGCTATCCCAATTTTTAACTCGCAAAATTTACATTTAATTGTTGCAGTTAATGTACATGATTTAACAAATAACTTAAAGAGAATAATTGAGTCATTTATAAATTGATCATTGATAACTAAGTAAGTACAATTAAACTTATTCCTGAATTATAAAAGCGTAATCTCTTTTATACATAAATTCTTTAATTTATCAAAACGTTCTTTATTTACGCATTTAGCAAATGAATAAAAAATTTTGGTGTGTAAGCTTTAAAAAGCGATGAAAAAAAAAACTTAATATTATTCATAATGGAAACTTATATATATATGTATATTAAACTATACATATATACATATTTATTGTATCTAGTATCTATAAAAACAGAAATTTTATTTATTTTATGAATGTTTGGTTACTTTATTTTTTTCATCATTTAATCAAATAAAAATATTGGAATTCCAAAGTCCAACTCTTTTTGTTTTATCGTTAGTTTTTTTTTATTTCATTAAAACTAATTCTAGTTTATATTGTAGTTTGTCTACTTAAAATCCTACAATGGAAAAGTTAACTTGGTAATCATTATGATAATTTATGATTAAAATACAAGAATTTTAATATGAAATTTTGTTCTATTCTATTATACTTAACATTGTTAATATTGTTTTACGTTGCTGTAGTTTACAATTACCATTTCGTGTACCAAAAGCTTAAGAAGATGCATAATATAAAAATGATATACAACGCGTATGTTATTGTTTTTCGATAAACTACTAAGTTTAGAGCATACTCGTAAATTTTATCATAAACTGCATTTCAATTGCATATGTACATATGTTATGGTAATCTATAGTTCAATTTATACTTACCTATGGGATTCAGATGATACTACTATTACTCGTGATGCATGATCCAAAAGTGATTCAACCTCTTGTGTTAAAAAGTAATGGCTAATATGACATATTTGGAATGTTGCTTCTAAACCATCCTCGGTAACAGTATAAGGTAAAGCAAAAACTCCTGCATTTAATATTAAATAGCTCACGTGTCTGTAAACACAAAAGTATAAAATACCTCTTAGTTCTTTGGATAAAAAAAAAAACAAGTCACTTTCGGAAGGTTAATGAGTAAAAACAATCATAAAAGATTAAAATATGACAATAAAAATTTACCTAAAGGTTTCTTTTAACTCCCGGGCAAAATTTCTGACTGATTTAAGAGATGATAAATCTAATCTAACAAACCGACATTTTCGCCCTGCTGATGGCTTTTCTTCAGAAATTTTTAAAATTGCATCTTCTGCACTTTGCTGGTTTCTACAAGCAAATACTACATCTGCGCCATGTAAAGCAAATGCTCTAGCAGTTTGGAATCCAATACCTAACATGAATGAATTGTTTAGCAAAAAATTCAGAAAGCAAAATAGTCTCTTTATAAATGCATTCATTTAAAATTCAAGATTTTTGAATTTGTTTTTCTATTAAGTTCTTATTTACCTACATTAGCTCCAGTTATAACAGCAACTTTTCCGTTTAAATCTTTGCCATGTAATACTTGTAATGCGGTTGAACTGGAATCATATCTTTGTCTTACTTCACTAATATTTGTTGGATGGCCTTCAACAGCAAAAGCTAATCTTGGATCATTATATGTTACCTGGTTAGTTTTCTTATTAAAAAAAATCGTTTTCTTAGATTCTTGATCTATTTGTTTTTCCCAATCTATCGGTAAATCTCCGGTAACTCGTTTAGATTTTCCAGTTCTTGGATGCGTCCATTGGGAACGTTTTTCATAATGACTAAAATAATTTTGATTTAAAATCTTCTGTTTATCTTTTATTAACACATATGTATATTTACATACCTAACATAAAAAACAAAACCATCATCAGTAGCCCTTTCTTCCCAATCTGGTGGAAGCTCATCTTCAATATATTTATTTACAATTAACACATTTTGGAAAAATAAAAAATCAATTATTTTGTTACCTTCACTGTCTGAATCTGCAAGATAAGTAGGCATCTTATTTCTAATAAATATGTAATTTGATTTTTATCAAAAAACAATAGATTCAAAAAAAATTTTTGATAAAAACAATTTTATTACTGAACTACTGTATGAACTTTTACATTGACAGTTACGTACTTCAAATTCAAAAAGCCTCAGCCACATACCACACCCAAACTACAAATTTTATAAGCCACTGTTGTTGAAAAAAAACACCACCAGATGTCGTATATTTATGAAATTTTGAATTTCTGAGTTTTGATGTTACAGATTAAGAGATTCTATTTCAAAAGGTCTATTTTCTTTTTATAAATTGCAATTGTAGAAAGGGATTCAAAAATGTGCTGCATTTAATCATGCAATACCGAAGCACTAACATCCATAATTTGCCATAAATTCAAAATGATCAAAAATTTCTGTATTATTTAACAAAGGTAAGCCCACATACATAGTTTTTACTTTTTCGCAATATTTGTTGAAATAGAGAAAGAAATTCTATATTAATTCTGCAATAAACTTCATAATTTCTTTAATCGAATATTTATTTTGCATTATAATATTGTACAACAAAGGATGTTTTGAGATAGTATTCATTATCTTAATAATAATAATAATAATAAAAAAATTAATAATATTCATCACATTGTCTAACAAAATAATTTTAAAATACGAACTCAAAAATCATCCAAACTAAATATAATTTCACTTTATAAAATGTAAAATATTTTTATTCAACAACACCATCGAATAAATGTGTTTCATTTTCTAAATGTAAACATCTGTTTAAAAATTCCATGTCTTCACGTATTATAGGATCTAATTTCATTAATTTTACTACATGTCTAATAGACCTTAAATCAATATAGAAATGTTGTGAATTTAATTTATATGAATCAAATGTAATTGCATTGTGGTTATTTTCATCACGAAAGAATACAGCATTTAAGCTTTTCTTTTCAATATATTCTAATAAGTCTAAAAAATCAAAATAATTCATTCCAAATGATGCTTGCAGCATTAATTGGCAGTGTTCTTTAAAGTCATCCATAGTGACACAGTCTTGTATTTCTTTAATTACCTTTTTCATATTCTCTGATAAACTGAACCATATTTTTTCTATATTACTTGAATTAAACCAATTATGATTAATGGATATCGTATCAGTTATATTCCAAACTTGATGATACCAACCAGAAGGTACAAATATTGCCTCATTTTCATTTTGTATTATTGTAAAATATTTACAATTTCGTTGTGTTAATAAATTTTCATCAATTTCAAATGGTAAATTTCCCAATCCATCTTGTAATTTTAATTCTTCACCAGGTGGTAAAAGTATCCATTTTTTCATACCAAAAATATTTGTTGACCAGCTATATGATTGAAAGACATCAGAATGAAATGGTGTCCTAAAATATAATTACGAATTAATTACATAGTTTTTTTTTGCCATTATATGTAAAATATTTTTTTTTATACATTACATTATGCGTAAACTTAATTATTTTAATTAGACTCTAAACTGTTATTTAAAATTATATACTAACCATGAACCCTGTGGACCTATATAAACAAATCTATAATCATCTTTCTCTTTATCAATAAGATATTGATTTAACCAATCAGATGCAAAATATTCTGGTGTTCTATAAAAATTATAATATGGCATTTGAGATTTAAGATGCCAATCTTTTAAATAAAGACATTTTATATTTAAAGAATTAGTACGAGAGGACCAGTATTCTAAATATTCAAAAAAATCCATTTCAAATTTTTCATGTGAATTAAAATATTTTTTCGAGCAATCGACAACAGGGACTCGTACCCTGCCAATATGTTGCTTTAAATAATCAATATTTAAATCATATTTATTTTCTAAATTAATTGCTATCCAATTTCTTCGGCATTCCCATTCATTAGATACATTTGTAAATATAACTGGTATATTATTTTGCATATAATTACCTAAAATCAAAAACATTAATTAACTTTATATTATTAATAATTATTTTTAAGAAAATTTACTGTAAAATTCTGAATAGCTGATTGATTCATTTGGTAATCTTGAAATTTCAACAATATCTTTTGGATTAATGACACTTTGTTTAAAATTTGTAACAGTTTGGTTCAATTCCAAAAGATTTTTTCCCATTCTACTATAAACTGAAATTGAAAATGAATCGATTTTTAATAATAAATAGTAAAAATATATAAAATTATAATACATATGTAATAACCTGTAAATATAGTATACGATAAAAAATAACAATAAATTATGATTCTTTATTTCATTTATAACTTTATTAACTGCTCTTAGATAATCAAAATGTTAATGGAGTTACATACATATATTTAAGTGGAAATTTGGAAGTAGAATTTTTTAATTTTTTAGCTAGAATATTTTTCCAAATGGAACTTTAATAGAAATCAAGTAAATATGTACATTATGTATGTAGTAAAATTATTTATTAGCAATTACTTTTCTAAAAAAAAAAAATGTGCGGTAGGAAATTTGTAAACAAAAAATTTTTCGAAAACAACAAGGATGAATTGCTGTTCATTGTTTATTTATATTTATCCACATACCTACCTAATATAAGTGCCTACACATAATATACACAATGTTATACACATTATAGTTAGTTAGTTAGGTAGGTTGTTATATTATTATCTTATGTTTGTGTAACATTTAGCACAGGTATACATACAAAAATTTTAACCTAACTTAAAATTAATTTTATTTACTATTTTATTTTCGATGTTTATAAAAGTTTACAGAAGACAGAAAGTCTAACTCATTCCCAAAATAATAAAAAAAAAACAAATTTCTTGTGTATATTTATTATTCGAGTTCAAAATAGAATTAAATTTGGATAAGATAAAATATATTTATATTTTGCCCATTATTTTTCCTAAAAATAAATTTTTAAATACAAGTAATAAATAAATAATAAAAAAAAAATAAAATATCTAAATGAAATTTTTTAAAAACAAATTGTTCTGATAAAAATTAACAAAAAGAATAAAAAAAAAAACAAAAAAAGTTATAAAAATATTTTGTAATTTATAAGTTATTTTTAATATCTACTTTATTTTATATAATAAAAGTTCTTATATTTTGAATATTTTTCTGAATTAAATAAATATAAAATTACCTTGATATACTTTTTTAAGTTTTCTTGACTTTTTCTTTTTTTTTTGTCAGCTTGGGTACGAAAAAAAATGATTTTTGATTTTTTTTCAAAAATAGACTTTTTAATAAACAAATCAGCTGCCAGCCTTTACAAAAAAAAAATAAATAAAGAAGCTTTGTTTGGCATATTGTGAATTCAGCAAATATTCAGCAGTTGAAATTTTATGCAATTTAGTGTTAGCGTTGTGTTGCATATTAACATTTATTTAAAAAAGATTTCGACCCGTTTATAATGGCAATCTAGACAGATTCTAAGAGCCCAGAAAGACATGCAATTTTCAATTTTGCAATTACTGCTTAATTTTAGAATCTTTGCGAACAAATCTGACTAACTAAGCTATTGAATTAATTCAAATCGAATGTGTTAAATAAAAATTGTAATTTGTTTGTAATAAATTGCAAACTGTATTGGTGTTTAATTGCATGCGATCATACAGTTACATGTATGAGCGTTTGAATATAAACCTATGAAATACAAATAAACAATTTTTGATCTAAAATTTTTAATGCAAACTAAAAACTTCACGTCTATTTAAGTCCTAAATCTAATTAAATGGAAACTTTAAATTAAAAACGTTTCGACCGTCATTTAAAACGACGACACTATTTGTTTTTCATACAATCTTCACATTCTTTTTTTTTTTTTGTTTAGTCGTATAATCTCCAAATACAAAAATAATGCTCTAGGTTTAAAATCTGATGTAGAACTATCCCAATTTGTAGATGCAAATACAAAAATATTAAATTAATCTACGTTTAAATACTCTGATTATGTACAAATTAAAATGATTGAAATTACAAATTTTCTTTTATAACAACTCTTTTCGTCTTTTATTCTCGTAAGAATAGAATTAGAAAAAGAAAAACTTGATTGAATTTACTAAATCAAATGGTCTTTAAAAGAATTTTTTAATAAAGCAAATCAAGCAATTCCATAATGATAGCGGGTGTATGTAATTCGTTGTATATGGGTTATTTTTTACAAAAACCCTCAGTTTTTAATCTACGGCAATACATGAGAATCAACAAGAGGAGTGCATCTAAAAAACTAAAAATGAACATTGAAAACTTTTTCAGCTAGTTTAAAAAAGCTTTAGTCTTCTTTCATTGGAAGAATGACAGCAGAGTTAAAAAAGAAATTAAGTGGAATTTATTTTTTGATATATTTTTTTAGTAATTATATTAAATATAAACAATATAATTTATAATTATTAATAATAATTGAAGGAAAAATCAGTTAGTTTTTTAATGATTTGGAAATGTTTACATAATTCTTATGTTTTTTCAAAATTAAAATCAATTTAAAGTATATTAGACACCGCCTAAACAAAAATGCCTTTGGCTAATCCAAATGAACCATGGAGAGGCCAAGCTGGTGGGCAAGTTGATCAAGATGTAGAAATGATGGTCGATGACGATAAAAAACCATCAGAAGCTAGTTTTTGTGGTAGTGGCGGAGGAAATGGTACTAATGGCGATGATACCCATATGAGTGAAAGTGAAATTGAACTTAAGGATTATGGTACCGAAAAAGCAGATCCATCACAATTTGAATTGTTAAAAGTTTTAGGGGAAGGATCATTTGGTAAAGTTTTTCTTGTACGAAAAATAGTTGGAAAGGATGCCGGAACTTTATATGCAATGAAAGTATTAAAAAAGGCAACATTAAAAGTAAAGGATCGAGTACGTAGTACAAATGAAAGAAATATTTTAGCAGAAGTTGGGCATGCATTTATTGTTAAACTACATTATGCCTTTCAAACACCTGGAAAATTGTATCTTATATTAGATTTTTTGAGAGGCGGAGATTTATTTACACGTCTAAGTAAAGAAGTAATGTTTACAGAAGAAGATGTTAAATTTTATTTAGCAGAATTAGCATTAGCATTAAATCATTTACATAGTTTAGGAATTATTTATCGTGATTTAAAACCCGAAAATATATTATTAGATCAAGATGGTCATATTGCATTAACTGATTTTGGTTTATCGAAACAACCATTAGATGGATCGAAGACATTTAGTTTTTGCGGCACTGTTGAATATATGGCACCAGAGGTTGTTAATCGTAAAGGACATCATTTTGATGCTGATTGGTGGTCGTTTGTAAGTATATATTTTGTAGTGTTGATGATTTTAATAGTTATTTTTTGTGTTATTAAAAATTTTCGTTAGAAAAATTTTATTTAATAGGTGTGGCAATTTATAATATGCCCTACCCAAAGGAAAAAAAAAGAAAAACATAAAAAAATCGTTATCAAAATAATCGATAACAAACATTTTATTTGTAAGTTTTAATTTTGGAAAACATTTTATCAATAATTTACCGGTTTCATGTAAAAAAAATAAGTTTTAAAAACTTTGGAAATCTCAAATGTTTTGAACGTGAATGGCATATATTGTTAAAAAAAAACCTTATTAGAATACTATAGTCAAGTATGTACACACTTACTCCCACACATTTTGTGTGATTGATACGACGTCGAAGAAAACAAGGTATAGACAAATGCATTCGTTGTTTTTATTTTTAGATTTTGAATGTTTAGGATCCCAAAAAGGTTTTTCTTTTCGTTTTCAATTAATGCGTTAATTACTATTTTCTAATTGGATGTTAATTTTTTTTTATAGAATTCTTTTTATTCCAAATTGTTTTATTTCCCTTACCTTTTGTAAAATTTAATATTTTTTTAGGGTGTTTTAATGTACGAAATGTTAACTGGCAACTTACCATTTCACGGAGCTAATAGGCAAGAAACCATGAATCAAATTTTGCGAACAAAATTGGGAATGCCAGAAAATTTAAGTCCTGAAGCGCAGTCTTTGTTGAGGGCTTTATTTAAAAGGAATCCTCAGAATAGATTAGGTGCAGGTCCTGGTGGTATAGAAGATTTAAAAAAACATGAGTTTTTTGCTACTATAGATTGGGAAAAATTGGAAAAGAAAGAAATAAGGCCCCCATTTATTCCAGCTGTTTCAAGAGATGATGCATTTTATTTTGATTCGGAATATACAAGTAAATCACCTAAAGATTCTCCAGGAGGTTGTGTCAGTGCTAGTGCACATGAAATATTTCGTGGATTTAGTTTCGTTGCACCATGTCTTCTTGACGATGATGGAAGCGGTATTTGTGGTGGATCTACGCAAACAACAGAGTCCCCATTATTTTTAACAAACAACGATGAAACCATGACTAATGCTGGAGCGACAAATCCAGCACCGGTAGCGTCAAGAATTCCCATTTGTTATAACAATGTTCTTCCCGGTGTTGTTAAAGCTGGTAATTTAGGAGATGAATATAATATTATGCAGGAACTGGGACGTGGAACATTCTCTGTTTGTCATTTATGTGAGCATAAATCAAGTAAAAAACAATTCGCAACTAAAATTATTAACAAAAGTAAACATGATTGTCGTGAAGAAATTGAAATTTTATTGCGTTATGGCAATCACCCTAATATAGTCTCGTTATTTAGCGTGTATGAAGATTCAACTTATGTTTATTTAGTTATGGAGCTTTTAAAAGGTGGCGAACTTTTAGATAGAATTTTAGCGATTCAAAGAATGTGTGAAGGTGAAGCGAGCGCTGTTATGAGAACTGTTGTTTCAGCTGTAGCATATTTGCATGAACATGGTGTTGTACACAGGTAATTATTTTTTTAATGTTGTATGATTTTTGTTTTGAAAGCAATATTTAAAAATTTTTTTTACTCGTAGGGATTTAAAACCTTCAAATTTATTATACGCATCTATTCATCAAACCCCAGAATCTTTAAAACTTTGTGATTTAGGATTCGCAAAACAGCTTCGAGCTGATAACGGCCTTTTAATGACCCCCTGTTATACAGCAAATTTTGTTGCTCCAGAAGTTTTAAAACGACAAGGTTATGATTTAGCGTGCGATATATGGTCATTAGGTGTTTTATTATATATTATGCTTGATGGTAAAACACCATTTGCTTCAACACCAAATGATTCACCATCAATGATTTTATCACGTATCGGATCTGGGTATGTTGATCTTGAAACAGGTCAATGGCACCATATATCACCAAAAGCTAAAGAATTAATAAGACAAATGTTACATATTGTACCGCAATCGAGGCCAACAGCAACCCAAATTCTTAATTATCCATGGTTGTGGCAACAGACCCCAATTACAATACGATCAACGATTAATGAAAATATTGGTTTTTCGGAAGCAGCTGCTCTAAAAGGTGCAGTACATGCGACATACCGTGCTTTAATATCAGCACCACAATCAGCTAATGTCGGACCAGTTGGCTTATCGGAATTAGCACAACGTAGAGCAAAAGACAAAGTCAATCTAAATTCATAACTTATTTTTATAAAATCATATTATAAATTATAAATTAATATATACATTATATCAAATTAATTTAATTATTTAAAAACAAAACATACAAAATAAATCTACAAAATAAAAAAAAAAATTAAATGAAATAAAAATTTTTAAACGTGAAAAAAAAAAAAAGAATAATATAAATTTTTTCCAAAAAAAAATCTTAATTCTTCCCCAAAAAACAAAAAAAATGAAAAAAATTAAAAAAATATCTTTTTTTAGAAAAATATTTAAACATAAATTATACATTTAAATATAATTATACAAATCTTACATATTCCATAAAGCGTAAATGTGTGTTTATTGTTTAATTTCTTTTATTATAAAAGTGTTTTGCCTTGTACATTTGTAGTTAAGAAATAAATAAAAAAGAAAAACTGCTTAAAGTATTTTTTTTTTTATTATTTTACTAATTTAAAATAATTAGTTAAAACTTTTATACTCAAATTAAGTCATAATAATAATGAAGGAATCAAACATGTTCTTACATATGCATAATGTTTTTCAAAACTTCATTTAATAAAAAAAAAAAAGAGATTTTTTAAAATTCAGGAAATCACATAGAAAAATGTAAGATATTAAAGATCTGAAAAATGTAAACTAGTTAGATCATGCAAATCTGTGATGACGCAAAAAAAATTCTTATCATTTATGTCAGGACTTAAAGTCCTAACATAATCTGAATTATCAAAAATCCCCATAACTTAATTCGCATTCTTATTACAATATTAGATAATTTGCTGTTTGGACCGAGTAGAATAGTCTTTTTATTGTTTTTATAAACAGTTCTAATTTGAAATCAACAAATATAATATATTTTTGCATTTTTCTTTAAGGTTGAAATAAGACACTATTTAAAAAAATTGGCTTATGTTAAGGCAATTTGTTTTGAGTGAAAAATTTTGAAACAGAATATAAATTTAATGATTTTTTATTAAAACTTCAATGTTAGTATCTTTTTAAAAGAATTTTATTGTAGTTTTATTAATTATTACTCTAAAAAGTAAATTATTAAGGTTTTTTTTTTTTTTTGAAATTTTATTTAACAGGTAAGATGTAGAAACCTATTTTTTTAAAAAATAGTTCAGTGTTTTTTTTATTTTTTCACTTCTCAATTTTATAATATCCAAACATATCTATTAATTTTGGTATTGTATTGCCTTCCTTACAATAATTAAAGACAAATTAAATTCATGATATGATATTACATAGTTTTTTTTTTTTTTAAATCAAATTAATTTTTTTTTTAATTTTCCATTAATATATACGAAAATAGTTTTGTTCATTTTTTTTTTTTGTTTTACTCTAAGCAAAATATTAAATTCATCATAACTCCAGAATAAATGGATAAATATTTTTTTTTTGTTTTAACATATATGTAAGCATATAATAGAATATAATATAATATAATTAATATATTACAATATAATATAATATAATATAATAAAATACAATTGAAAGTATTCCTTTTTTAATCCCATTTCATTCTTTAAAGTAATAATAAAATACTACGTAAATATATGAATATACTTATAATTTTTTTTTTCTTTAACAAAAGTTTAATTAAACAAAAAAACCGATAAATAATTTTTTTTATTTTTTCTTTTTTTTTTTATAGATTTTTTTTTCCTTTTTTTTTTAAAATAATACATTAAATATTTTTCCAAATTTCTTTTTACCATTTAGATTTCAAAAAATATATAATCAAATCTATCGATACATCATTACATCTGTACTTTGATACATGCACATATATGCATCACAAAGAAGTCTTTTTGCAAGTTCTGGTAGCATTTTATCATTTGCAGCTGCCTCATTTATTGTACGTGCACCTTCTTCAGATAGCCATTGAGGTAAATCTGGTACAGTAACCAATTCAGGAATATTATATCCATTTTGTTCCCCTAAAATACCATATTAATAAATATTCTTTATAAAGTTTTCAATCAAATATTAAATTTTGTTTCATTTTAATATACCTTTTCTATCAGCCATTGAATCAAAAAAACACCATGGTGCATCTAAACCAGAACCAGCTTTAACAAATGCAACATAATGTGATGTTTCAATACAAACTACAGCAAATAATTCCATAAATAAACGTGGAACATTTAAATGTTCTGCCATTATTTTAAAATCTTGTGGCACAGATATTTCTTTTGGGGTATGATTTGCCCTAAAAAACAAAAAAAAAAAAAACATGATTGAAAAAAATAAATAAATTTATCAATTTGAATAATTTATTTTACCTTTTAGCATGGGAATGAACGGTTTCCAAACATTTTTTACAAAAAGCTGTACTTTCTAATCCAACACCACACTGTAACATACCAAAACATTCACGACATTCATACTCTGCTAATTTTCCACACACAGAACATTGTCTTGGAGCTAAAATTACATATTTATGAATAAGTAATAAAATATAAAAATAATATTTTTAATAAATCTTAATAAATTTTAATTATTAAAATTACAATCTTCTATAATATCAGTAACATCAAGCACTTGGGATGGTAAAATTCTTGGATACATTTTAAAATTTTTTCCAAAACGTGGCATTTGTATTATAAGACACGATGGTACTTCTTTCAGTTTAATATCTGATGCTAAAAAACTTTGTTCAAAAAGCTGTTGTACTGATGGAAATGATAAACGTTCATCTTTTTCAACAAATAATTGATAAAAAAATGTATCTTGCCCGGAACTTAACTGAAATTTTAAGAGTTCCATTTTTGAGTCTTTTTCTCATTAAAGTTTTATTACTATTATCTTACTTTAAGAAATGGGTCTGCTCTTAATATTTGTGCTAACAAGCTATTTAAAAATTCTTCAGGATCTTTTTCTTCACATGTTAAACCAGTTACGGAACTTAGTTTTTCTAATAGTTGCCTCAGTTTCATAACTCTGTCAGCTCTTACAAAAACATTTTTACGTAATGGATTTACAATTTCTTCCCTTAAAACTTTTTGGACTTCTTCGTAATGTGAAATATCCTTTCAATTCACAAAATAAATTTTTAAAGCATGAAACTTATTTGTATTTGTAAAAAATTACACATACCTCTGGTTCTGGTGGTCTAAATAATAAGGAATCAAAAACACTAGTGAATGTAAACATTGCAAATAGTGTGGCATCTAAATAGCATGAATTGTGATGACCCTGAATTCCTTTAAATTTCCCACATATTTCTTCCAATTCATCAAGATTTAAAATTTCTGCAATAAAATCAAATCGATAAGACGCAATTAACTAGTGACAATCATTTTTATTTACTTAAGGGAGCAACCGAGCCCACAACTGGTGGACATTCTACTTGACCAAACATTTTTGCATCTAAAGCTTTTGCATTTTTTCCACTAATATTAATAGGTAAATTATTTGATATACCAGTTGCTCCAATGACTGAAGACGCTTGTGAAGAAGGAACTTCAATTTCTAAAAATCTTCGATCGATAGAACATTGACTTGGGTGAATGAATATTGCTCTTCCTTCAGGACATTTAAAATATCTAATATGAAATTAAAGAATTCAAGTAGAATCAAAATTTTTGAACACAAGCTAATTAAAATTATAGAATAATATAAAATTTATTTTTATATACCTTACTCCATTATGTACACCATCAGTTAAATTTAATGGTCTTTCACCTGGATCATCTTCCAATTCAACTCCAACCATGACATTTTTCGATCCTTGTGGGACACCAATCCATTTAATTACACCATATAAATCCTCACAAACATCCGTAGAAACTTCAACCATTGATCCTACACCTAAACCTGTATCATCTGGAATTTCACTTAATGGTGATGGCGGTACAAAAATATCTTCAGGCTCATTATGCATTACATTTTGTGCTTGTACTTGTGATGAAATTAAATTTGTATTGTCATATAATGGCTCAATATTTTTCAACTCTGTAATATTAAAAAAATATCCAAAGAATTAGTAATTGAAATTCTGAGTAAAAGTAAATAAAATAGAATAAATTGAATTTCAGCACAAAGTGAATAACCTGCAAAATTATAATATTCATCATCATCACTCCATTCAAAGTGCTCCAATACTGTTAAGGGTATTTCACTAAAACTACAGCGGTCTAAATCCATTTTTCCCCCAATTGAACCAGAATAAATTTTTAAAACAATAATCTTATCTTTAATTTATAAATCCTATTTTCTAACTCTATTACTCTATGTTCTGTAAGCCCTTAATTAATATTTCTTGTTATAACTTTGATTATATTTTTTTTTTACTTAAGAAATTCAGGAAGTCTTTTAATGTTCGAAATATTACAGTGAAATTATTTTCGGAAAATCAAAAACTAAAAATAGAAATTATATGCACTAAAAAAATGTTATTTTGAAATCTGCCAGATGGAGTAAGTTGTTGTTTGTTTTTCTTTCATTTTTCAGTTTTTTAAATTTATTTTTAGAAGTTTCAGAGACTAAGGGAATATTGATATTCAAAGTAAGTACCGTTAGTTGTTCTTTTTAAATTGAAAGTTTTACATTAGTTATTCAATTATTATTTTTTAATTGCCGCAATGACCTTTTTTATAAATTCGATTTTAAATGATATTTAAATAATTTGAATAGTTGATGAATATTACTTACTTTTTTCTTTATTTCCTCTTCCAATATTTGAATTTCTTAAACCCCCTATAATTGAAGAATCATCAAATGAACTATTATTACTTATTGCTTCATTTACATGCTTCATATTCTCTTTATTACGCTTATTATCTATATTTGATTTGGAACTCATAATATGTGAAATTGGATTTGCTGATTTATTTCTTTCACTTTTCCCAAAACTGCTAACACTACTATTGCTACTACTACTTATATGCACAGAACTACTTTTATCAGTATTTAATACTAATGCTGCATCACCAGCTGTAGAAGGCCAATTTGTACCCAATAAATCAGCCAAATCAACTTCATTTCTTGGATTATCTAGAACAATAACCTTACTTTCATTCATAGTTGATTCTTTAATATCCGCTGTATCGATCACAACAATATCACGATCTTCAAGGCTCAATATGGTATTTGGTTTAACAGTCGTCGTTCCAGAAGCCAATGGCTTTTTTTTATTACTTAAATTTGAATTACTTGTATTAATATTTCCACTATTATTTAAGTTAGATTTTGGTTGCTTTAATATGCTAACCGGTGGAATGTTTTTATTTGTTGGTGTTTTAATTGATGATTTTATAATTGATTGTTGTTGTTGCTGTAGCTGTTGTTGTTGCTGATGAAGCTGTTTTTGTTCTAAATTTTTTTCATAATTTTCAACACATCTAACGTATTCCTCATTTGTTAACGTTATTAAATTTTCGTCGTCTCTTTGATGCGAACTTTCTTTTGAATCACTACAAAATATTAATTTTTAAAATAATATGTAAGAAATATTGAATTTAAACAAAAAAATTAAATTAAAAATAACATTTTCTAAGAGATATTAATTTTGAAATTATGATTAATAGCATGATTTATTAAAAAACAATTAAATGAAATATTAATATACCAATTCCCTGGCAAGTTGAATGTAATATGGTGGCCATTTTCTTTTGAGTTAGTTGAATTAGCGCTCGATAAATCAGGAAAATTAGTATTTGTCGCTTTATTTCTTTTATATGATGGAGTATTTGTTGATGTACTTGATGTAGATCTCGTTGTTGTACAGGTATTTGGAATATGGGAAGAATTTACAACTCTTGAAGCATTACAACTATTAAAATTTTTTTTAAAATTCTTTTGTTCCATTACGGGGTTTTCATCATCACTAGGTATATTTAAATCATTCTCTTTATTCTGTTTGTCATTTAAGCAATTATTATTATCAATTGCTGCTAATAAACTAAATCTATTAGAATCTACATAACTGTTCCTGTTAGTAGAGGACGAATTTTGTCTTAATGAGTGCCGTTTGGGTGATTGTCTATTAAAGGTTTTTATATTGCTGTAAAAATTATCGTTAGCGGTGGTTGTAGAAGTGAAACCTAAAGCTGATCTAGCACGATCTAATGTTCCACACAATAGATCACGTGTTGAAAACTTAGGTTTGGAAAGCGTTTCTGTATCCTGTTCAATATAATTTGCAGTTACAATAAGAGATAGATGAGCATCACATTTTGTATATTTTTCAGCAAAATCTATTATTTCATCGGCTTGAGGAGAATATCCATTCCCCAAAGTCTATATGGTCAAATAATAAAATCAATATCTTTATCTTAATTTTACAAAAAAAAACAATATTTAATGAAAGTGTAATTATTGAAAACAGATAACTAACACCGCATTAAAATTAATTTAAAACTACATTTAATACAAATAATATTTACACATTCAATTCATTCTATATCATAAATAATATAATAAGCAGTAAGTACAAGTATCGTGCAAATACATACTTTTCATTATTAGGTGAATCTTCAACTTTCCAAATGTATTGGCTTAATTTTGGTGTATATATTTTAAAGGTTTATCACTTTGGAAAATGAAATTTCGATTAAAGTTTTTTTTTAATATTATATTCGGCTATCCTACTTAACTACATTTATTCATTTTTCTTTAAATTTAACAAGATTTGGCACATTTTGTTAATACCATCTATACGTTTATATAGATTACTCTATACATATGTAAGGGGATTAAACATAAATTAAATGTTGGCAAATATTAGTTAGCTTAATGAATTTCGAGGTAGTGTTAAATTTTTCTCTAATTAGGTAAATAATCTCATATATATGTACCTACCTATACCTACCTACGTACATAAATAAAATGTATAACAACCTGTATTTTACAATATTTCAATACACAAATTATTTTATCATTAATCATTTTGGAAAAACGTTAAGATAGGCCAATCTTTAATCTTTATTCATATCTATTTATTTTTTCATATCTGTTCTAATTTAATTACCTACTGGTAGATAAAGTTAATTTTTACAAAAAATTTCATATTAATTAATAATAATACTACGACTTTTTTTCATACAATGATGAATGCAATGACTCACTATACAAAATTACACAATGAACAATGATTTAGATAAAAAAAAATTGGATAGAGAAATGTTTTATTTACCAATATTTCAATTGCAAAATAATATCCGGGGCCAATTTCAGGCACAAGACCAATATGCCTTATTATACCACAATAGGATTCTGTTTTTTTAAATTTCCTTCCGGAAATTAATAATATATCTTTGACTTTTTTAAATAAACAATATTTTATTAATTCATTATCCTGAGCAAATCTTAATCTTTCTTTGGCATCTTTAATAGCAATCAAAAATGGCCAACAATCTTCAGAAACTTCTTTTAAATCAGAGCATTTGCATTTATATAAATTATCATAAGCTGGGTTCTTATTAAAATAATCTATAATTTGAATTAAAACATTTTTGAAATTATTCACTTTTTCACTTGTACGAACTAAAGTTCCACTGTCCAAAGGATAGGATTGTACATCATCTTGTAAATCTTTCAATGGTATTTGAACAATAACTTCTGTCCTACGAATTGTAATAGCAAAACCTCTTTTTGATCCCATTTCACAGCCAGCATTATATAATTTAATATTCTAATTCTAATTCTACAACATCAAGAAAAAAAAAACAACTCAATAAAATTAATAAAAAAGAGAAATGAATGCAAAATGATTTACAATTCCGATTCTATTGCAATTAGTACTAGGTATTTTGATCACTTTATTGAAAAATATATTTTGTATATAACAAAAACTTTTCCATGTTTTTTATCGGTAATTGCTTATTAAAAGAAATTGTCTAATGTTAAAATATAACATGCATTCCTTTAAATTTAAACTATTAAACTTACAACTTATTACCAGTATTAATTAACAAGTTTTATTTTATTTTTAGAAAATAGTTATATATTTTGTCAGAAAAATTACTTTGCGTAAAATCTTTCAAAACTTTCAATGACAGTCATTATAGGTCTTTGACATTTATTTAATTTGTAATGAATTATAAGGGTCGTATTCGAAAAAATAAGGGATGGCAATCACAGTAATTATTATAATACTAGCATTTTTGAAAAAAAAACTTGAAATAACGATTTCTTATACTTAACGGAACTTAAAGAGATATGGTTGAATTAAAATTATGCTCTAGTTTCGAAGTTATTTAGTTTTTGTTAAAACAAAAAGGTAGGATATAAATAAATAGGACTCATAACAAAAATAGATTAATAGTATTCAGAGACGGTGCCCAACTTAAAGAAATTTTAATTTTTAATTTCGTATTAGGATCGTGTAATAAGAAAATAATTTGCAATGTTTTTAAATTAGATTTAGAACTGAAAAACTTTCTTGGTAAATAAATTCATTTAAAATAATGAACGACGTACAAGAATAAAAAGAAACATTTTTTAATTATTATGTATACCTTTGAGTTTGGATATCTTGATATTTTTACAGGTTTTTAGTAGGTTTTAGTTTTATATGAAAATTAGTCAAAAATTTAGGTGATTAAAAATAAGTTTGCGAGTTCTTTCAACGAATTAAAGAACAAATATCTTCACAATTTTGTCATCAGTTTAAACCTATTTTCCTAATGCACATTCCAAATTTATTGTATTTACAAAAAAGCTGATTCCAATAAACAAATGCATATACGTATATTTTTGATCTTCTGTTTTTTTATTTTTTTGTTCTACAAGATTTTCAATCCTCAAATTTGATTCGTGTTGTAAACCGTTCTTTAAATAACAAAACAAAATCTAAACTAAAAATAAACCAATTATTCTACGTTTCACTTATAAAAATGAGTTCCTTGAAAATGTATTCGAATCTTTTCGAAGTAATTGATATAAACAATATAATCCAGTTACGCCTAATCCTATTCCACCTCCAAGAGCACATTTTTTAAGACCAGCTAAAATTAAATAAACAAATAATTCAAATTTGTTAATATTTGCAAACAAATATTTAATTAACAAACCTGTTGACTTATACAGCAAACCAGTTGCTGTGCCGGCTATAACTGTGTTAATTTCATCTTCTTCTTCTCTGATCCATTGTAAAAATACGCCGAATGCGGAATACATAACAGTTATTGTCCCTAAAGTACTGGCAGTTGCAGAACCTTGTTTCATAACATGATTTAACAATCTAAAATACCACCAAGGGTTAAGTTTTTTTTAAAAAGGTACTAAAATTATATAAATGAACAAACAAATAAAACTAATCATAAGATGTAATAGGAAAAATAAATAGAATAGACAAATCAAAGGTGTACAAATCGAAATGTTAAAATTTTGACTTGAAAACGAAAAATCTTCATTCAATTATTGCTTTAAAAACCTAACTGATTTTAGTAAAAAAAATTTTCTTGTAAAAATATTAGAATGTTTAAAATACTTAAGAAATTGGAAAATTTGATTAGGCATTTTTTATATAAATTGTTTCTTACTGAGTTCTTCTTAGTTTTCCAGTTTGTTGTAATGCAGCGGTTGCTTTTATTCCATTATAAAAGCCTGCTAAACCTCCTATACCTGCTCCGGCCATAGCAGCTGTACCAATTTGAGAAAATGCTAACTCGAATCTACCTCGCTGTCGAGAGGCACCTTCTGGAAAAATAAATTCGGGTTGTGCTTGTTGTAAAAATCTTGTGTCATAATTTAAATAAGGTGAGAGTGGAGCAATTTTTTTTGTTTCATTTGTTATTGATGGCGAAGATGGTGCAGAAAAATCTAAAAACAAACAAAATTTTGTTTAGAATTCTTATTTGTTCCAAAATTGCATAAGCATATTCGCGACTCTTACCAGATGATGAACCAATGCTACCACCTAGGGACAAAGGTTTACTAAGATAATCATCACTCATTATTTATTCTTTGGAAAATGCTAATTAATTCTAGGTTCTTTATATTTTTTCAAATCCAAATTTTTTATTGAATTATTTAGTAAGACTTTTTTTACAAACTTAATTTAATTTTGGATCACAACATGACAATACGGGAAAAAAATGAAACTGGTAAAAGATAATGACAGTATTATGTTTGACAAATGTCAAAATTTCACGTGTTGTTTTATTACTACAAGTACAGTGTTCTTCCAAAGTTTTTGTCATTGCAAAAAAAGTTTCTTGAAAAGTTACGCTTCAGTTATCATATAAATTATTTTTAGGTCCTTTTTCGAGTTATCAATTGTGTTAACTTAGTAAAATTAATTAACTTTTTTAACTGAGCGTGTTTTTTCTAAAATATACTATATAACTTGGTTGTATTTGAAATTTGTCAAAATTACAATCACGATATAAAATTTTCATTTAAAGACTACATTTTGTTTTGAAAAAAGTATTTTTTGCTCAAGAAGAACATAAAATTAATATCAAACCAGAATTTGTTTAAAACAGAGTGCGAATAAAAAATTTGGAAATTTTTTCTAGAACAGAGTTTTGACTTTATTATTTTCTACCACGTCTCTAATTTTACATATACAACAAATAAAAAAATTAAAAAGTTATAACCAAAACTTTATCAACCCCATTGTAATACATAATCGACATTGAAAGAAAATCAAAAATAAATTAAATCTCAATCATGCGCAACTGATTGTATTAAATGTGTGAAATGATTGTGTAGCTGAATAATATTCTTCTGACATTGCGAAGTTCATTAATCACTTGTTAAGTGTTGATAAGATTGTTTTGAAAATATTTAAATGATAATAAACTCGCTCAGAAGTTTTTATTTCAATTTAGTTGTTTTGACATTATTAATACAAAATGTTTTAGCTAGAGAAAAAAATATTTAATAATGCGCTATAAAAAATTATTTATATATATTTTGTTGTCTTCATTAGGTGTATTGCTTTTATTTTATTTAAATCGAAAATCGACTGAAAATGTAAGTAAGCATTTAATTCATATTTACTTTATAGATATTTAAAATATGTCCAGATATTTATAAAAATATTTTAATTTAGCATTCCAAAAATTTTAGCAATAAAATTCCAATTATACTATGGTGGACAAGTATTATTCCCAATTATGATAGGTAAGTGAATACTAGAAAAAGATTGCATAAATCTTTATTATTCAATAATTAAAATTTTAGATCAATGGAATGTGGTTTCGCATCTTGTCGATTTACTGTGGATAGGAGCCTTTTAAATAATGAAAATACAAAGGTTAAAATTTTTTAAATTTTAGTTTGCATGCTAAATAAGTCTTTTAATAGTGCCAATTTTATCTATTGATAAAATATCGTTTGCACATAAAGGTTCTTTTTTATCATGTTTACAATATACATACATACATAGTTTTAATTATTTTTTATTATTAATACTTACTCACTCCGGAATCAATCGTTTTAATCTCATATTTTCTGTTTGATAGGCAATAGCATTTTATGGATCCAATTTAAGTGTAACAGACTTACCTTTACCCCGATCAAAAGATCATCTATGGGCCTTGTACCACGAAGAATCACCAAAAAATGTTCCATTTTTATATAGCAAAAATATTTTTAAACATTTTAATATAACTTCAACTTTTAGTAGATATAGCAGTATGCCTTTAACCGTGCAGTATTTAAACAATTATGATTCATTAAGAACTCGAAAATATTTAGTTCCAATTGGAGAAAAAAGTAAATTACGAAATAAATTGGCACCAGTTGTATTTCTACAATCCATTTGCGATACAATGTCAGGAAGGAATGAATATGTTAAAGAACTTATGAAATATATTGATGTTGATTCATATGGCAAATGTTTAAATAATCGAGAAATGCCGGATTCGTATGTTATAGAAAATAAAATCCTAAAATTACATTTGAAAAAAATATTTTTTTTTATAGCTTAACGAATGAATATTTACAAACGCTGAATACGGATGAACTTTATACATTTTTAGCTCGTTATAAATTTGTTATATCGTATGAAAATGGAGTATGTAATGATTATATAACTGAAAAATTTTGGAGGCCTTTGATTATAGGTTCAATTCCCATTTATTTCGGTTCACCGACAATCAAGGTATATACTTGCATCAGAACACTAATTGAACTAAGTTAAATATATCCAATTTATCTTTTTTTATTTAGGATTGGATGCCAAATCCAAAATCTGTGATTTTAATTGAAGATTATAAAAGCCCTAAGGATTTAGCAAATTTTCTAAAAAAATTAGATAAAGATGATATTGAATATAATCAATATTTAAACCATAAATACTCACAGGAAGATCCAATCTCAAATAATTTATTAAAAAAAACATTGCTTGAAAAAGAATATGATACTAGCGATGATATTTTCAATTCTTTTGAATGTTTTATTTGTAAGAAAATTCATAGTTATTTTGAAGCCATTGCAACTTCAAATCATTATGATTGTGAAAATGGTACAAAATATCCTAAAATGAAGACTGAGTTTAAAGAATGGAACTCCTGGGAAAGTATTATAAAATCTGGAAAATGTGAAGGAGATGTTCTTGATAAATTTTTGATAAGAAATAAACCATTTACGGAAAAAGATTTTCATTTGGAAATAGAAAAAATGTTTATACAAGGACAATGTTAATTTTGTTTTTTTTTTAGAATATTAACATTTTAAAATTATTTAATTAATATAAAATATTATACCACCATTTAAAATTATTCTCATTATTTTTGTTAAAAAAGTTTCCATATTCAAAATATAATTAGTAAAATGTATAAAGTCATTATTCATTATTTTTGTTAGAAAAATAGAAAGTATTTTAATAAAATAAAAAAATATGTGATAAAATTAGAACATTGTAATCATGATGATTCATTAAGGTTTTCTGTATCATTTAATATATTCACTTTTTTCTTTTGGTTTTTTCTTTATTTTTTGCGATGATATTTTCTTGAGTTCATATGAAAGATGTAAAATCGTATAAGTTTATAAAAATATATTTTTATAATAAGTTAATGAATATATGCAACATATGTATACATACATTATTATATTCTTTAATAAATCATAATTTTTAATATTAAAATTGTTATCTTTTGATTTCGTTTAATTTTATTGCCGTTGAAATGTGTAATTGTAAGGTCTTCATAATAACGATTTTGTTTTGAATAATTGCTAATTTATTAATAACAATGTATGATAACAAAATGAAATACTAAAAACAAATACGATGTTAAAATTTCGCCTTGTTGTAAGAACGACAACTCAAAAGAATTGAAATCGATTTTAGATTCCTTAATTTTAATGCCCTACTTCTTACCCTTTTATCTTCTTTTTCAAGAAAATTTTTTAGATAGTGAAATTTTATTAATAAAATGGGCTTAAAAACTTAATTCGAATGTATTTTTGTTTTAAAAATGTTTTTAAAAATTGTTCATTATATTTTTAATGAAATTCAATCATATTCAAATGAAAAAATCATGGTGGCTAACTAGAAATCAATGCTATATTTTGTTCTTAAAATAGAAATAAAACTACCATAATTAAAAAATATCTTAAATATTATTTTTAAATAATTCTCCCTAAATAAATAAAATACATACTGGTATATATCTACATATACATATATATACAAACATATAAGTATAACATTTAAAAAATAATACTATGACTTGATATAACTAAGGCTAAAATTATCACAATACTGTTTGTCAATGATAAATGAATTTGTTTTAAAGCTATACTTTTGTTTTGCTCATCTTCAATGATACTTCCATCAATTTCATTAACTTTTGGAATATAATCAAAACATGATGGGAAATTATTTGGGACTGGTGTCATTTGGTTATGATCACCTATTTTTAAAATGAGTGCCATACCAATTTCAGCATGAAATTCTATATGACAATGGAAAAGCCAATATCCAGGATTATTAGCTTGAAAACGTATTATAGTATAACCACCATCAGGTACTGTTACTGTATCTTTACATATAGCTTTACTTGTTTTCCTTTTTAATAAACCTTGTCGATCCATTTCTTTGATCTGTATAAGATAATGTAAAATATAACAACAAAAAAATAAATAGAATAATTGGAAATATTCAAAAATTGAATTATAATTTTTTTTTAGTGCTCACCTGTTCAATTGTAACATTTTTGCCAACTCGTTCTAATCCGACAACTTTAAAACCATAACCATGAAGATGGAATGGATGATTGGCATCATAAGCAATACCTTCATCTACTAAAATTATTTCAACGGTAGCATTAAGAGTCACTTGTAAGACATGATAGCATTCACAGAATTCTTGTCTGCAATCTATTCCTTTTTCAGAAAATGTTGTTTCATTGCAGAACATAGAGTCATTTAATTTATTTCTATCGGGCATTAATGTTAAAGACGGCATTTTTAAGCTTATATGGTTTAATTGTGGCGTAAATAAATTATTTTTTGTTGGATTAGACACATTACCAAATCCATAAAGATCTTTCTTATGAAAATGAGGATTATCTTTTGGATAAAAATCATAATAAACATAAAATTTGTAATCTGGTTCTTTATGGAGAATCCAATCGTCATCGGTGTGTTCATCTAAACAATCGATTTCGGCTAAAGTTAAGCTATTATTTTCTCCCGAGCCTTTATTTAAAGGGTTTAATTGAATACCATCTGGTGTATGATCATAAGATGGTTCTTCACCTTTTGGATCTGATTCTTCTGCACCTTCATATTTTAAAATAGCTACTTGAAAAGCTTTTGTGAATCTTTCATCACAATCCATTAAACCTTTGAATCTTATCCAATAATTACCAACTGGTTGGTTTGCAACAACAATAAAATCAAATCTTTCCCCAGCATATGACACTATTGATTTTACTTCAACAGCTTTAAAATCATACCCATCAGAATTGATTGCTATTAAAGTATGATTATCAATCGAAACTGCCATAGGACAGTTTAGATATTCTGCATTTATCAAGCGAAAGCGATAACTGAAACCCTCAACGACGGTAAAAGTTTCTAGTGGCGTCTCTGATTCTGAAGTAAGAATTGATCTTTTTTCACGTTTTACTAAAGGCTGTAATATAACTTCATGTAATTTCATATTACGTCCTGGGTTTGATTGAAATAACATAAAATCATCTTCGGGATTACGATTTTCAATTGAGTTATTTGAAATAGTAATCTCTGTAGTTGTCAAAGTTTCATAAATTTCCTTATCATCACCATTATAAACTTTAACTGCTTTTAGCTGCGGCTCCTTCGTACTTTTAATAGTTTCACCTTCTGTTTCGTTATTGTTTATTTGACTTATAATCGAGTCCTCTTTTGATAAAGCTGGGAAATATCTACCCTTTCCATTTACCAAAATATTTGGAGGTTTATTATCACCTACTGAATGATGATGAGATGCAAACATAGAAGCTCCAGTTACATGAGCCCAATCTTGAAGTGTAATTATATGTTCTAAAAAACAAAAATAAATTAAATTACACGATACTTTTTGAAAAGTCAGTTAACTATTGATTCTTACCGTCAAAATCATATAATTTACCATGAGGATCAAGAGCTTTTGGTTGCCTCACTATTAATGGTCCAAAAGTGCCATCCCCTCTTTGCATTCCAACATGAGAATGCCAAAAATGTGTTCCAATATTTTCTGCTTTAAAAACGTATCTATAATTACAAAAGAAAAATTAATATGTATAAGATAAATAAATAATATATCTATGAAATAATCCTATTTTACCTAAATGTTCCATGTGGAAGAATTGGGCATTGTGAAATATGTGGAACACCATCCATATATGGATTACTTTTTTGATGTAATCCATGCCAATGTATCGTTGTACTTTCACCTAACATTGAATTTTTCACATCTACAACAATTGTATCGTTTATACAAACTTCAATAGATGGTCCAGGCATCATACGATTTACTACGGTAATACTACGTCGAATTCCATCCGCGAAAATACAATGAGGTCTAAAGCAATCTGTTCTGTTATGTGGACAATCGAAACAAGCTTTACTTAAAGTTTCATACCATTCTATTTCGAATTCATAATGACAAACCCTATAAAAAAATTATAAAAAATTGTAAATTTATTCCGGTTTACAAATTATCACGTAAATTAATAATTATAATAAACATATGTAATTATACATGATTACACAAATTGTATTTACTTTGGCTCTGCTTCAACTTGGCATTCTCTATTGCATGGATGATTTTTATAATAGTTTTCATTAAAAATATTGTCTTCTACAATTGATTTTTTGATTTCACGGATTTGTTTTTTGCAATAAAGGCAACAATCTTCTTCATAAATTGCATATTTTGGACAATGTTCTGGAAATTTCGGACAAGATTTTTGATAAGCTGATATTAATGGTGTATTATTGTGTTCTTCACATTGAAGAATTGTACAATTATCATCACTTCTCCATGTCGAACCAATAGGATAAATTTTATTTTCATATTTACATTTTCTTTGAATACATTTACCACAACAAGTTCCCAGCTCTTCCATTAATTCGAAATCCTAAAATTAATTATTTTTTTTTGTAAATATGTATTATATTGTATTTAAAATATAAATTAAATTTTATTTTTTTTTATAAGTATGTAATTATATTATTAATATCAAATCCCCAATAATGTTAACTTACCTCTTCACAAATTGGACAAACTTCGTGAATACTTTTTTCAATAGGTCTTCCATCTTCATCTAAATCGCACATCATTTTAATACAAGGATCATTTGTACTCCATGTTTCACCCAAATTTTTTGTAACTCTCAATTCATTATAATTAATAATGCATCTTGCTTTTGAGACTGCAATTATAATAAAATTTTTAAAAAGATGTACATATACAGTATTATTTTATTATTAAATTAGTTTTAAAAAATAAAAGAATTTATTCAGCAATTTGGATTAAAATTTATAAATAAAGTTTTACATTTTAGTTTAAAGTTTAATTTAGCAAAAAATTTTTCATCCATTTGCCTTTTTATGTCATCTATATATGTAAGTGGAAATACCATTCATTTACTGTTAGTTAGTACTGTTATTTTTAGTATTATATTCCTAGGGGCACCTACTGTCTTAACAAATGCATTTAATTTAATTTTAACTAAACTTTTTTATGTCTAGTTTTTTTTTTCTTTAATAACAATTATAATTTTATTAAAATAATTCCTGAGTTTAAAATTTTAATTAACATAATGTGAATTTTTATTACATGTCGTATACACTAGTATGGTTTTATTTTATTACCACCGCTCTAACACTTTTTTAATTGAATTGCAGAAATTAAAAATTTGTTTTATATACCTAAATACCCAATAAATTAATATTCCTACTAGTTTTTCGAGTAGATTTAAAAAAAACTCATTGAAAATGCATGAATACATATACTTATGTATGTTTGTATAGTTATACAGGTATTTTACTTTTTATAATAATTTTCATAAGTGCCTCTACCTACCTCAATTAAACGCATCGTGATATGATTATGTTAAATTGCTGATATTTAGTAAATTATAGTCTAGGTAGTATTTAACAGATTTAAAACGCACACTTTATAAAAACATAAAAATAAAATTATATGCATATATGTAAGTATGTACATACTATCTAAGTACGTGCTTTAATAATTTTAATTTATAATTTAGATCTGATGAGATATGGTTTTGTACATAATGCGTTTATATACCCGGACGAACGTAAATATGTTCGAATGTTTTTTTTATGTTTAATTTATTTAATTAAAATTTTGTGTAAAAAATTTTAGCATTTTAAAGTTATTTTTTCAAAATTATATCACCGGTTGAGATTTAAAGTGAAATTAAAATTAAATATGGTAAGTACAGTATCCTTGACCACTTTTTTAATTGTTTGTTTATAAAATAAAAATGATTTATGTATGTGTTTATAGAGTTGGTTGAAGAAAAATAAAACCACCAAACCCAACCGTATATGTATGAAATAAGGAAGATTTTTTTATTATTTTATAACAAAATTTATGTAATTTTTTAACAATGAAGAATTCAGACTACAATTTGAGAAAAACGAATGGTTCAAATGATACTGCAATTTCAGGGCAAATTTATTTTGACATAATAAATGCAAATATAGCGAATAATTTTTTAGCTATATTTATAAATATTTTCAAAGGTCAGAGGCAAAAGATTTTTATTTTAACATTATTTCGGATATTGAAAGCTTTCCTTTTAAAGAGTTCTTAAACAACAATTGTACATACATATGTGGGTGCTATATACAAACATATACATATGTATGTATGAATATGTATTTATACAGGGTGCTTCGCATAAGGCTGCAAATCATTTCAGAGTATTTTTTGATCAATTTTCAGCAAAAGTCGTAAAGGGGAAGGGAGGGGCATACTCGTTTCCAAGCTACAACCTGTTGAATAAAAACCGGACCCAGATTTTGCCTTCATATAAATAAACGTAAATATCTTCGGAACATAGACCATTAAACACTTGTTTTAAAGATTATTAATAGATTTTTATTTTTGTTTTTAAAATTAATTATATCTGACCTTTAGTCTTCGAGAAAAAGTTACCAGAAATGCAAATATTGATTTTTTTTTAAAGTTTAAGAAAAAAAAAAACACGATAAATTTTTGTTATTATTTTTTTTCGCCACATTTCAATGAGAGGTAAGTTTTCCTCATACAATATTTACTTCAGCCTCTCATACACAGTTTTGCTTACTTTAACCTTATGTGACTCACGCTGTTAAGCTACAAAATTTTAATTTTTTTATTACTTATAATTAATATCAAATTAATTTTTACATTAAGAAATGATCTCTCATTAATTGAATTGTACAAGATGTTAAAATCACTTATTTACATACATACATATACACACATATGCACACAGGTATAAGATATTCAAAAATCTAGTTGCTATCTACGTACATACATACATACATGTATTTCCATTAATTCAATTCATAAGTACATATGTATGTATGTCTAAATCTATTTTCTTTATTGATGAAGAGGAAAAAAACAGCATATCACATTTATTATATCTAAATTAATTTAACATCCTATTAAATCATCAATTTATTTGATTTTTAAATTACATATTTACTATTCCACATACATATATGTATATGTGTATGTAGACAGATGACAGCAAATTTGTTTTAATTGACACCTGTCTGTCATTCTGAATGATAGAAATTAAATTCTTACATTCCACAAAAAAAGATAATTTCTAAAGAAATTGGAAACAAGAACAAAAAAAATTTATATCCGCTTGGAATTCAATAACTGATGCATCCGTTTTAATTTAAATAAATTATTATTAAGGATGCAATTATAGTGATCTAAGAATATTTTGAAATGAAGAGAAAATTTAGGAAAATGGAGCTCAAATTCAAAATTCAAATGATCTACATATATACAAATATATACATATATACATATGTATATATACAATGTATGTTATGTAGTCCTCAAAACTGAAAATAGAGAATTTGCAAGAACTTAAAGAAGTATCCTATTCTGGTCGTATTTTATAATATATTATCCTACATGCCAACTGGATTTGCGAATTGATTCAAAACAACTTACATACATACTTATAGTCAAAAATATGGAAAATTAAGGAACAATTTACAGTCCGTTAAGAGGAGCAAGGATAAGTCTAAACTGGATATAGTTATTGGATTCGTTGTACCTACACATAAATAGTTGCGCTAAACATTTCAAAGCAATAAGTATTTACATATACTGGTCTTCGAGCAAACATGCTCGAAATTATTAAAGCATTTTATAAAAATTCTTGTACCCTGGAGAACATCAAGTTTCTATTTTAAAATACATATGTACATATGTAAGTATGGTTATACATATATGTATACATATAACTATTCTAAATCTTTAACCACTTTCGTATGTACATTATTAACGATGACTTGCTTTGTTTTCGCTTTTAATTTAATCGTGACTAGTCAAATTACGAAAAAAAAAAAGAAATTATTTTATCACAAAATTTTTCAACGAATTTTTAAAATCAGACCACTAGAGTCTTAACAACTATTGTACAGCATTATCAAATTAATTACTTTTCGCTACTGCCATAAATTATTGGCTATAAATAAATTTTAAATTAAATTGATTTTTATTTATTTGAGTTATAATACGCATATTATCTAATCGGATTTTAAACACTTTAAAGCTTAATTATAATGAAATTTTTAATTATAAAACTCAATTTACCGCTTATCTACACTTATGGTGCATGATGCCACCTTCAAGTTCCAAGTACAGTTAAGTAATTGTACTCAGATTAATTTTATTTTAAATATGATTTTCTGATATTATCAGATTTTTGTTTTTTATGAAAATGAAGAAATGTGGTTTTTAGTTTAGAATCAAAAAGTGATTCGTTGTTCTAAAGTTATTAATACTGTATGTGTAATAGAGGTTTAAAAAAAGACAAAGAAGAATGGTGTCAAAATTTCTGAACTATTAAGGGATAGTTGTAAAGTAAACTCTTAAAAATACAAAGGGAATGAATGTGTAAATAAGAATAGAACCACTTTAATTAGAAAAAGATGCACATTAAATAGGTTTCAAAAATGATCTACTCTGCAGTTTAAACTATTTCAGATTTTTGTGCAATATTATTTCAAGTAATTCTTTTTAATAGTTTACTGGATTAGAAATTTGTACAACCAGGGTAACAGTGCACTGGGGTTACTTATAAGGGTCTATTGTGTTGCCCACTGATTTCAGGACATACCCATACCACTCGAAGAATGGTGGTTCTTCATGTGTATGGGGCCCGCGCAAGCGCTTGAGGAATTTTAATTCTTCAAGTGTATGGGGTTAATTATTGAGATGACTTTTTTTATAATTTAGAATTTAAATTTGTGTACAGGGATATAAAATAATTAACTTTTAGCAAAGGTATATGGAAAGTCATTGCATTGTTTGCAAGAAAAAAGCTTTTTAATTTAGTTTTCCGTTTCAAAATAAGAGATTGCTATTAAACCGATTTTTCTATATAAAAATTCAAATTGTACTTTTACTTAACTCTCTTACTTTAAGTATATTTAATTTCATTATTATTAAAACCACTATTTCATTAAGATTTTAACTTCTACTAAAATCTCCAATAAAGATTCACGATAATTAAATTCTAGTAGATTAATTTTCATTCTAGAAAATGAAAGTAAAAGTGAAAAAAAATAGTAAAAAGCTTAGAGACAGACTTAAGTGAATAGATATCTTTTAAACAGACTATAAAACAATTATCTACATAAAACACGTGATGTTGTGCGTCTTACCAGGTGTTTAATTGAATAATCGTTAAGTGCTAAATATGGTGAGAATATTTTATGAACTATACTATTATAAAAACACAATTAATCTGATAAAAATAATTAACTTTTATTGCTATTATTTAGAACTTATATGGTTTAAAAGCTTTTTTTTTAAATTATAGACTTTTTGTAATGAGCTATAATAGCATCTAGTATTCAAAATGAATGAATGAATTAAAATAAAACATTGAATATTATTTATACAAATGATTTATATCCGGAGATAAACGAGTTATCGACAGAATTTTTACAATCGTTGAAATGTTATTATGTTTTGTAATATGTACAATAGTAAGTGGATTGGAGGTGATGTTTGTTATTTTTTTTTTCATATTTTAATTTTATTTAAACTTTTAAGTGAGCAGAAATAATGAATAATAAAAAATTAAAATAATTAAGATGATTAGATGGTGGTTAATATAAAATTATTACAAGAAAAGTTGTAGCTGTGAAAATTGAATTGAGTTTTATCAATAATAATAATTCGAGATTACTTATAGGCATACTGTTATTGTTACTTTCAATCGTTATTATTTTAATTTATGTAGGCAGCTACTATTTCAAGCTCTGAATAATTGTTTTAATTTTCAACTTACATTATGATGACAGATTCTTTTATGTAATTAGTTTTACTAGTCAATTAGAAATTTCAATTATTTTATACAGAGGATCTCTAATAGAAAATTTTGAGTATATTGGCAAATGAAACGATTATTAGCGACAAATTTACCTCTTAAAGTTGTGCTAGTGTTTCACTAAAACACTAGCAACTAATGGTCAATGTTAAGACATTTGAATTTTGATATAATGTCAAAAATTCTTATTTGCTATAATCCATTTACAATAAACTTGAATTTTATTGTATTGCAACAATAAAACATTTAAATTTTCACAATTTAATACTTAAATATTAAAAATAAAAAAAAATATAAAACAATTTTTTGTTTTTTACGTAATAGCAAGTAATTAACTCATTTTTAATGACTTATTAGATTTAGATTTAAATTTAAAATTTTATGACTTGTAATATCAAATTAATTAATAAAAAAAAATTAATTTGAACACTATTAAAATTGATTAATTGAATTGCAATATATCTAAAATTTATACTAAGTATGTGCAAGCTGTATGACTAAGTAAATTTAAAAGAGTAACATATGTATATATATATATGAAAAGCTTGTGCTATTACAAAGTATAGCATATAGACCATTATTATATATCTATAATATTTCTAATTTAAAAAATAGTCATAATGTAATCCTACACTTTATCAACACTATAACAATTTTAAATTAAATTTACTTTTATGTATATTAAAAAAGATCCGGGTCTTATGAAAATTTTTATATTTTGAAAATTTGATTTATGTGCATATCTATGTATATATTTTTTGTTTAATTTCTATTTAATTTTACTTTGATACTCACCTTCTCTTAAAGAAGAACCAGCAGCAAATGGTATAATAAACACAAAAAGGATATATTTATTAATGTTTCTCTTCATTTTTAGTAAATTTTTATATAAATGTATGTAGATTTCATAAATTTTTTTTTTGTACTTTCCAAAGGGGCTCTGTAAAGAGAAAAAAAAAATTATATAAAAATATTTTTGAAGTAAAAGTAGAGTGTAGATTCAAAATTTTAGTTTAAGTCAATGACCTTTATGTATTCAATTAGCTTCTAATTATTAAACAATTATTAGTTAAATAAAATTCCTTTAGATTTAGTTTCTTTAAAAATTGAAGAGATTCAGGTGAATTTTTTTTTACTTATACAAGTATTTTTCAGGTTTTATTTACCAAACAAAAAAAAACAAAGGAAACGAAAAAAATTAAGAATTACCGAAAATTCAAATGTACATTCATGTATACATTTGTATGCAAAAATAATTACTTTTGAGCTTTATGCAGAATTTTGGACTTGTTTTTTGGTAACAATTATAATAAACATTAACCTTGATTATAAAATAAAGGTTGGATGCACATTAAATAAGTTTTTTTTTATATTTTTTTTTTCATTTTCTAAAATTATTATTTTGATATTATAATTGAAATATGTACATATATTTTATCATGTAAACTGGTATATATTTATAAATTTGTGGATTGACTTCAAAATCCAGAAAAAAAATATAATAAATTCCGGTTTCAAACAGTGATTATTATTAAAATTATACAAAAATTTTGTACATTCAAGTACACTCAAAAAATTTTTAATAACATTACAATATAAGAATTATTATTTTTCCATTATTCCGCTCACCTCACAGGATATTAAACTAAAACAAAAATTATATATTATCGTACCAAAGTTTTGGTATGTATAGGTACTTATTTTATATTCCAGTAGGCTAAATTGGTACATACATATATAGAATTTTAGAGTTAGTTAAAGTTTATTATAAAATGGGAAAAATAATTGTATTATTTCATTTTTTAAACTAAAGTTTGCATAATTGTGAGGAAAATTTTTACTTGTTATCTGACGTTGTTTGGTACCATGCCCTATTTAATGTTACTATATGCTACAAAATATATATTTAAAATGAAATCTTTATTGAGACAATTGAATTTTTCAAATAATTATTAATTTCTTATTTTATAGGACATTATGGATTATATTATTAAAATTACATATTAAAATTTCATAATAATATGAAAATATTATAATATTATGATAATAAAAAATGTACATCACGTATACATACGAAAAAAATTGGAGTAAAACAAGTTTTAATGAATATTGTTTCATTATCATTGTTATATTGGAAAGCAAAAATTTTATTGAAATATGTTTAAGAATTAAATTTATCATTTACTTAAAGTACTTAAAGTATTTTGAATTTATTTTGCAAAATTTTCAATATTACAATAGTCTAGATTAAAAAATTAAAATAAATTATGATTTGAACGTACAATATAATTAAAAATTTAAATATTCTTAAATTTTAAAAGCAATTTTATTTATTTTTTTAAATAATCATTCATTATAAATTAAAATAAAACTTGAAGTTAATATTATTAAAAAAAAATAATAATAATGAACAATTATTATTGTTGCTTGTTACTGAAAAAAAACAAAAAATTAATTTTAACAAAACTTTATTGTTGCTGGTGTAAACTCGACCCTAAATTATAGCTGTTCCTGCTATATGTATTATTGTTGCGTTATATGAGAGCATTAATCTTCATCAATGCAAATATTTTAGAACAGGGCTTTTTTATAGTAATGTCACGCATTAATATTATTACTATTATTGTTGTTATTACGTTTGTATAAAATGTGATTGTATTAATAATTATTAATTAATAATATATATTTAATTATAAAAATATGTGTGTAATAAAACTAGCTATATAAATAAAAAATTAATTTTACTATAGGAAGAAGGTATTTGTAAAGAAGATAATAATGTATGACATAGCTATCTATGTAATTATTATGTAATTTATTTGTAACTCTTCTTGAATTTATATATTTATGTGTACAAATTTATTGATATGTAATTAAAGAATTCTTTTTTTTGTTGTTTGATAGCTTGAATAGCTTTTAATTGAAAATTTTTACATGAAATTTGTCCTTCATTTTGAAGAAGTAGCTATTTGATGGAGTGTAATCATTTTAATACTTAACTTTTTTTTTATCAAGTCATTCTTTAAGAATTATTATTATTGAAAAAAAAATATAAGACTTAATTACATTTTAACTTCCTATATTATATTTTCTAATGTTTTTCGATTAAATAATTGAGTATCTGAAGTATTCATCCAAATATTTGAAAAAAAAATTCGTAAAAACATAAAAACATGTTGTACACATAAGTGAAAAAATATGAGAAAATTAAAAATTTTAGTAATGATTTGCATATCATAAAATTATAATTTTAATAAATTAAATATGCAAATCATTAAATTTTTGAATAGAAGCATAATAATTCTTAATAAATGAACTTTGTATGCAATTGTTATTGTCCTCAAAATTTGATATTCTTAAAATTACAAAATGTTTAAAGAATCATACATAGGTATCTTTTCATTTATCACCCTGTTTAGGGAATATTGACGGTATTAGGAATTCTAGTGTAGTGAAATAATAGTATAAACATAATAAAATAAGTAATTTTCAATATTGTCCAATTAATAATTTAATTTAAATTCTTTATTAATTCTAATTTGTTAACATTATGATCATGTATATAGGTGTACCTATGCTACACACAGACATTTTTTTTGTAATTTGAGCAGAAATTCCAGAAAAATTGTGTTCCAGACAGACATTTTTTCATATTTTTATGAATTTTTAAATAAATTACGTTTCAGATTTTTAAAAAAAAAGAAAAACCATATTTTATTCCAGAACCTTTTATTACAGAAATTGCATCTGTTATAACAAATTTCATTAAAGTTATTAATAAAATGCTATCATTATTTTGACGTATAAAAAAAACTTAATTTTTCAATATTTATATAAAACAGCAGTTTTATTATTTCAAAAATAAAATGTAGGGTAACTTTAAAACTAATTAGATTTCGAGGGTACGTTATATTTCAATTTTTTATTGAGATTTTAGGATCATCATTTACGTCGCTCGTATATAACAGAAGTATTTACGTAAATTGAGATTTGCCACAGAGAGCAATATCGTATAATAAAGAAACAGTTGTGATATTTAAAAATTTTGAGTAATTACAATTGTTTTTACTAAATAATTTTTTTTTTATTTAATTTTTGAAATAAATTTTCTACCTTTAATGAATTAAATTGATGGTCATTTAAAAAATAGTATTCGAGTATATATTTTTTAAAATGAAGTAAAGCGGAAGAGTAGTGGCATCGCATATAAACTGTTTAAAAATATTCCAGGGGTAACAAACCATTTTAATTTAATAGTATTTAATTATTTAGGTATTTTATATTTTAAACATGTTTTACTATTATAATTAAACAATTAAGAAAAAATTTGTTATAATATGGGAAAACCATTAAGTTTGAGTTCAATAAATTTAACAATAAGCTTCAACTCATTCAATCAGAGTCAACTCATTGCTTGTATTTGCTTTGAAATATCATATATAGTATCATATATAATATCACATTTTATACATACTTATGTATAATATTAACTTTGAATATCTCAATCTTGTGCATAGAATATGATTATTTCTGATTTTTTTATCATGAATGGTTAGAGCTTAAGAAAAATTTTGGTTTTGGTATTTTTATTATTTCGAAATAAAAATGGGTTTTTTTTACATTATTAAAATATATTATATTATAAAGAATTTATAATTCAAAATTATATGAAATTTTGTTATACCAAATATTGGAAATAAATTTAGTATTACGGTTGTAATAAAAATTTCCCGAATAATTTTTAAGCTTGCGTTCATTCAACCATTACCATTTATGTATAGCTATAATTGAAGAATTATGGGAAGTTATATCATTTATTCTAAAGCAAATATTCCAATATATTGAGTCACATTAGATTTTATTGCTTTCAATTATATAGAATTTGGAATAAGAATATTTAATTATAAGAGCTAAAATTACTATCTGAAATTTATATTAAAAATTCTGTATTTCATAAAAATTTCTGATATTTTAGAGTAAAATTTGAATAAAAAATTTTGAATTTCAACATTATGCGTAATCCTAATTTTGAAAAATGATAAATTTATTTGTATATGCATGTATACTTTGTGTAAAATTCTGATAATTATTTTGAAATTCAAATGACAATTAGTAGATTACATTAAAAAAGATAACCTTCTTACATATATGTGTGCTAATACAAATTATAGATAAAATTTGATAAGACTAATTTGCGAACTTTAACCCATATAAAATATTTAATTATATATTGTTTTTTATTTTAGATAAAAATGAAAATCTCAATGGGAGCGACTCATAAAATTTTGGCAAAATAAAGTAAAATTTCTGGATAAATAGATAATTTTAAAATTTTAAAAAGCTCTTTTATATAACTACTTGTATTTGCAACTTTTTATGTAATTATATCTACATAGATATACATATATAAAAAGTAATCCATATTTTTAAGATAAGAAACTATAGCTAATATTAGACTAACAGATAATATTAAATTAATAATAAAATATGTAATATAATAATAAACTTATATAAGAATATTAAAATTAAAATGTAAATATGAATTGCTTTTAATATTAGCAATGCTTATCGCGAAAATCTCAATAAAATAAATATGTAAATAATGTAAACAATGTCGCGCGAACATGTGAACCACATCATTTTTTAAAATATTTTAAAATTTACAATGTTCGGATAAATATAGTTTTATTTATGCTTGTAATTAAAAAACGATCTTACATTCTAATATATTATAACTTACCTACCATTTGTAATTTGCAATAATCCCGAGTAATATCTTTTCATAGGTCTATTGTGCTTATATCTAATAATTTTTTAAGTAAATTATTTTCTAAATAATTATATTGTTCTTTTGATAAGATATTTTGCATATGCAATTTTATTTAATTTAATAACCGACCATGACCCAAAATTTTTTATATATATCGTGTATGAAATTGTGTACGTGAATATATATATGTGTACATATTAGCAAATAATACCCGACCGATATAACCCGACTTAAAATAAATAAATTTTTAATGAGCAAGATTAAAATTTCTATTTACTAATATAAAGTCTAATTTTTGCGTCAGTTCTGTTAATACAACAACTTAATTTGTAATGTTTATTAAAATTAAAGTTTTGATAATATTCTTATATGCTGAAAAGAAATGGTTACCATTTAAAATAATATCAAATTATGTTTAATAATTATGAATGTGAGATTTAAATTCCGTTCTTATACAATTATAACTTATTTAAAATGAATAAAAGAAGAGCTCACGTTGTAAAATAAAAGTAAATATTTACATCAATATCAAATTTTTATAGTAACATTATAATATATAAACATATAAAAAGAGATCAAGAATATTTTTAGCACACGTTGTTTTAACAAGGTTTTATAGTCATACGTACATTAGTTGTGTGTCTCTTAAGATTGTATAACATTCTGCAGGCAACATTCCAATCACAGAATCCTTCGAGCTGTAATAGCCTATATAAATGAATAGTTGTAAAAAGTATTTACATATAAATACATTTTTCCTGATAGATGGCTTTAAAATTAATAAAATTTGTATTATTGGGAATAACAGGATTTCAAATTCAAAACAGGGCTTTATTTCGACAGCGTAGTTTAGACTTTAGAGTATTACACACCTTTAAAAGGAACTCAGTCATTAATAAATCTTAGACGAAATAGTATATATGTATTTAAATCTTAAAAGATAAGACTTTATTATCAAACTTGTATTTTTTTTTATTGTGTATGCACTGTAATATTCATAACTTAGTTATTAATTTCAAGTTTATTATTTCTCTAAGCTAGTTAATTATAAATATTTAAATAAAAATGCACGACAATAGTGAATGAAATAAAAAAAAATTTTACTTTAGCACAATTTTTAGTACTATACACGTCATTGGTATGTGTAACCTATGCGGATTTTGTACTCATAGTTTAAATATACAAGAAAAATATAATAAAAATAAAAATTAAAATTTTATTAGCACATTTAATAAAACTGGAAATATATTATGTATATTTATATTTGACTTGTGAAATTGGGGAAAAGTTTTTTTTTTAAATTTAAATAAAATTTTTTATATTTATATAAGATTTTTTAAATGCAACTTAAACTTAATTAAAATTTTCCTTCCAAAACGCATTTTAAAGCTTAATTTGTTGCTAAATAGAAGATTACCAAATAAAGCTATTTAAGAAAATCAAACTGGTTCTTAAAAGTTATTTTTGCAATTTTTAAGAAAATTAAAGAAAAACAACTTTAATTTTTTATTTTTTAATATTTTGTGTATTAAATGAGGAAAGTACATAAATTGATTGCAATAATGATTTGGTTTTAAATTTTTTTAATAATTTAAAAAAAAATATTTACAGTCGGACCTTCATAACACCAATGATCATTTTACAGCAAAATTAGTTCGTGTTATAGAATGAATTAGAGTTTAGGGTAGTAAAATAAAAATAAATATAATGCAAAATGCAGTAAAGCACTTCGTGTTATAGAATATTTCGTCTTACGCGAGTTTATATTATGAGGGTTTGACTGTTGTATATTAATTGTTTTACATAATATATAACAAAGTAAGAAAGTTCTGCATTTGCAAAATTAAAATATATTAAAATGAAAACAAAAATTCTTAAAACTGTTATATAAAAGAATTTATTCAGTGTATATACCACATGTCTTTCTTGAGAAAAATTTCAAACGCGCTCAGCTTGTAATTATAATTTTAAATCGGTTTTAAAAAAATTTCAATTAAATTTTATTAAAATTCTCCATACAAAATCGTTTTTCTTTTATTCTTTCAGTACTCTAATGAATTTGTCATCATCATAATGAAATTAAGTTTTCTTTTTCTTTAATGTTTCAAATTAACCATAGGGTTTCGGTTAATTATTATTGTAATACAGGTATAATTAACACGTATATAAACCAATGCATACTTATAATAAATTCTATATTTGTATTTTATTGTGATTGCGAAGTTATTATTTTTTGTTTTTGGCTATTAAAGTGCGAAAGTTCAAGATCAGTTAATGAACTTTTTAAAATTATATTTTTTTTTGTTAATTTTTACCATCTTAACAGATTGAAAGGATTTGTTAAGAACAATAAAACTAAGAAACAAATTAAAAGTGTTATATTTTGTGTTTAGATTTTCAAAGATAAATATTATGTCTGTTGATCGTACATTGGTCAGAGCTGGTTGAGGCTGGCACTATATGACATTCAAAATATATAATACATTTAAAAATTTTTTGCTGAAATTAAAACTTAGTGCAATGCACACGTTGTAGCTCAAACAAATTTTAAATATTTACTAATCCAATATTTATATTTAATATAGCAATTTGTTTATTGTAGTATTTTGAATATACTGAACACCTTACTAACGAAAAACAATTTTATATTTGTACATATTAATTATTATTTATTCAGAATTGTTATTTTTCTCCCAATATTTATATATTAAAATATTCTAATTAATTTAAAAAATTTTGTTTAAATTATTTTTTAAATAAATAATTATACATAAGTTCTTTGAAAAACAATAGTAAATTTGAATAATTGTTGATAATATTTAATTATTATTATTTCTGTACATTTTAAAAATGAATTTTATATTTTAATATAGCCTACAATTATAGTTCATATTTAGAAAGTATTTTTATTTTTGTGATATAGTTATAGAATCTAATTGTTATTAAACATTTTTTTTAGGTAAATACACGCGTACATTTGTAAATTGTATAAAATGGTCCTGTAAATTTAGATATTAAAAATTAATATTAGAAATTCTTTAATTTTGTATAACAATTTCCAACACTTTGAAAACAAAATTATGATTAATGTACTATGTATATCAAAATTATATAGCCTGAAAATTATTCATGGTTAATTTTTAAAATTTAATTTAATTTTGAATCTAATTTTTAATTATAATTTAATTGTGTTTATTTAGAATAGTCAATATAACAATCATCAGAATGAGAGATAGAAGGCAATAATTGAAAAAACAATCCTTTTCCTAACAGTATTTTCATAATTATTACTATATTTAATAATTACCTAATAAATGATCTTTCCTGTTATACTGATTTTCTATATTGTATAAGTTCTACGATATTTAAAAATTTCTTTAAAATTAAAAACTAAGTATGTTAGCCTTATTTGAGTGCTAAATTTAAAAAAAAAAACACTAAGTATAATCAATTGAATTTCTTTATAGTAAAAAAATCATACTTAAATTAAAATTAAACAAATAATTGAAATCACAATATTACATAAAATTTTTAATCAACTAACCTTAATTTGTTTTTTGTAATTATAATAATTACACAATTTTCTTGTATGTTTTTGGAATATTTAAATACAGCAAATCACTTCAACCAAAAATGAAGTTGCCTCTAAATATATTCAATTTTTTTTGTCAAATTTTTTACAATTATCACAATATTTTCAATTCTTAAACCCAAAAATAATTTAAAATTTTATAATTTATGTGTATACGAAGAAATATTTCACATTTTTAATATTCAAAAAAATTGAAAAAATTATTTATGGTACACGTTTCTTTAATATTAATTTATTTTTACACTATTTGATATAGATTCTTAAAATATTTTATTAATAACTATTTATTTAAAACAATTAAAAAATTCTTTCAATTATTATTTAAAACAAAAGTGCCAGCTAATTAGCAAAATAGTTATTTTTTATTTATTAATTTCTAATTTCACTAATTATTATCTAAGAATTCTTTGTTTTGTACACATATAAAAATTCTTTTATATCCTTTTAATAGTTCCAATTGTACAAATATTTGTTTTTATTAAAAATTTAATTATTAAATAGTAATTTTTTTTTCATAAACAATTTCATATATGCAAATTTTTTTTCGTTTTGAAATTCATTTGAAAAACAATTATAAAATAAACTATTTAACACAAAATTAAATATTTAATAATACAAAAAGAAAAGCAAATTATAATTTTAAATTTAAACTATATTTTGTTTTTCTTAATATTTTAAATTTTCCTTTTCCTTAAATAAATTTTCAATTACCCGATGACTTCTGATCTTCAACTGAATGTTGATGGTAACAAGTTAAGCTTTTTAAATTATAATTTTAAACTTTGTACACATACATTTATACAAACATATACTTAAATATTATTTTATACCTGCGTTAATATGCCAATTTTCAATATAATAATGTATACGCTCGCCAGGTGAATTTTAGTGGGAAAACTTCTTGTTAATTAATTGATATTATAAAAAAATATTTAACTATTACAGCCGCTACAGTAAATCGCGCATATTAAAAGGGAAAAATATAAGAAAATAAATAAAATATATATTAATAAGCTTTTATACTTTAATTCATTATTACTATTATTATTATTATTAAGAGCGTGTTATGCTTCTGATATGAAAGCTTTTTAAAACTATTGTAACTAAATGTATAAAAATATAAAACAATGCGATTATGAATTTTTAAAATATAAATAAGAGCAAAAGAAAATATCTTGAAATAAAGATGATAAGATTTTTATCACAATAATTATATTAGGCTTTAGAGAGCATTAAAATACCGAATTTAACCGAAACTAAATAAGAAAATTAAAATGTGAAATGAACAGTGAGTTTATTGCTTTTATTTTTAAGAATTCGAAATTAATTTAGGTGACTTAAATTATAAGGTAAAAATTAAAGATAATTTTTAAGATTATGAAATTATTAGAAAATAAATATGTATGCATGTATGTATGTATTGAGGTATACTTTTGTTTTCATGCGAATTTCAAGATCAAATTGAAATTCTTTATCACTTTTTTTTTTGTTGTTTTCCGTTTTGTTTGTATTTTAAGAGAAATTTTTAGAATTTGGTTGAATTCATTGATTGTACATGCATTTATAATTATTTAGGTAAATGCTATTAATTCCTATATATAGCTGATTTCATATCTGGTATTAGTTTCAACTGAAATTCTTGGTGATATTGATACGTTTATGCGTTTGTGATATCAGTTGATTTAATTCTTCCAGTTTTAAAATTTTGTTTGCTTAATGACAGCAGATGGTGCATTAATTTCCCTATAATTGTAAATATTTTTAATAAAGATAATACATTTGATTTCAATTCAGTTGTAAATTTACATACTTACCTGGTTTTTCTCAGAAATTCATAATGTAAGAGCTACTAAAGTTGTATGTACTGAATATTTTGCTTTATATTATCAAAAACCTGTAAATTTGTCATTTATTTAATATTATATTTATAAAATTGAGTGTTAACCTGTGCTTGCATATTCACGTATTAAATGAATTATGTTTGGGTAAAATATTTGTTTTTGATCAAGAACATTGTCCCTAGACCCAGCATATACAACAAGGTCAACTGTTTCTCCCACTCTCAAATCACATTAAAATATTATTAAACAATTCAGCTCATAAGCACCTATCACCTATCTAGTAAAACACAATGACTTTAAGAAACTGCTGTTCATGGTTATATACAATATCGTGTACCCGCCCTATGCTCCTCCCAGGAGCGAAATAGGAATAAAAAAATCCGTACTAATGCTGGTTATACGAACCATTTTTTAATTCCGACAGGATTAATTAAATTAATCATTTTCATTAAGTGTATTCAAAATGACCAATGTCAAATGTGTCATATCATTAATATCATAAATGTCAAATAGTTTTTTCATAATATGCATATACCTAACGGTATATATACATATATACTTGTGTTTCTTTAAATTTATTTTGGTTATTACCTGCGTCTACGTTTTCTTTCTTGAATGAGTCATGAAATTTTTTTTTATTTTAGCATAAATTTTGATAACATTGACAATGTTAAAAAATCACACTATATGAAAAATATTTTTGTATTTGTTTTTTTTTTATGTGACATTTTATAAAATCATTTTTTATTAAATTAATTTAATTGTTATTGAAATATGTGGTAAAATTTGGTTATTTGGAAATGGAAAACCACAAAAAATAATGAAAAAAAAAAACGGAAGACAATATAATAAATCTGTTAATTTTTAAATATTTTAGATGATAATCGCGGATTTTGAATTAATTATCATAGTTAGCTCTAGTTAATAGATTTGGACTATAAATATGATTTTTGAAAATTTTGTAGTTTTGCATATTTGCAAACGCATAGAATTTGTTCAAGGTGGTAGTTCAAAATAGTTGTGTGTACTTCTTATTTTTATAATTATTATCATTATGTACTTCACAAGCTAAAGACTTGATTACTTCAAATATCACATAATAATTTTGTATCCATACAGTTTTGACAGAATAATTTATTATATGCCTTCATTTAACCACAAATTAGATTTACGATCTCTTTTTGTTGATTTATTAGAATATATGTAATGACTTTAAGTAAAAGTATTTTTATTGCAAGTAATATTTAACATGTACAAAAATTAAATGACATTTTAATTGTTATTATATATTTTTCTTTTTATATTTCTAGGTAATTTTTGTTATATAGAATATAATTAATAAAATATTTAAGATTGCCGATTAATTAATATTTAATTAATTAAATTTGTTCGAAGCATTTAATGCAATTTAATAAATTTAAAATGTTTCAAGAAACAATATATAACACTGTACAATGCAACAACAGAAGGTTATTGCAATTTTGGAAATCACTGTTTAATTAAACTGTAATGAATAAATCCAATATTAGTACAGATGGTTACCCTAATTACAATCATTATTAATAATTAGAAAAAAAAAACTCTATATACTATTAATCAAATTTTTCAGATCCTTTTAAAATAAAAATAGTGACAATTATTAAAAACAAAACAAGATGGAAAGAATATCTTTTGCAAAATAATTATCCTCATAAACTACTAAATAAATCTTAACAATTTATTTATTTTTTTTTTCAAAATTTAGGGGAATTTTTAATTTTTAAACCACATAATAAAAAAATTTAGTATTTCCGGTTTACACAAATATTAGTGCAAACGTGATTAGTTGACAAATTTTATTTTTGACCAATTATTTTTTATTATTAAAATAAGAACTAGATTCTAGATTTATTTATATAATTATATATTTTTCATATTTTCTAAAAACCTATGAGGCTGACATGCCAATTGAATAATTTCTGATAATTAATGCTTGATTTTTTTTAGGTTATCGAAAATACATTTACCGAAGATTCCTGTTGAATGGTTGTCATATGAAATTTTTGAATGAAGTCTATATTGATGTCATTAAACTCTTAGATTTGAATAAGCAAATTTCAAATTTTAAGTGGTCTAATACAATTTTAATTTTCAAATAAAGTAAATTATGAATTAGAATTACATTATTTTAGGTACTCTTAGAGACAAATAAATTAATTTAAAAATAAATTTCAAAATTAAGAATATTATATTGTTATCTTATAAATTTTTAAAAATAAGATTATCAAAATATTGAATTGAACTGCTGAAGTTTATTGGTTATTGTAAACGATTTTATATTGTATTATACTATCAACATAATGATTTGAAATTTTTTTTTAAATTTAATTCCACTTACATGCCCATATAGATACTGTATACGAATTCAGTAGCTTAACAATAATCTTATAATTAAAAAATTTGATGGTTCTATACTTTAGGATGATTATTTTTTAATTTTAATTTAAAAAGCTTATCTAATTAATTACGTATAATATTATAAAAATAGTTAAGTTTTACTTGTATATGTAATTATAATAAGAATTATTGTTAATTAACTAAGAAAATATTAAGTAAATTTTGAGTTGCATAATATTCAAAATTACGAAATGTGTTTGACCTTTAAAAAATTGTATGATTTTTTTTCTTAAAATATGCGAGGTTATTTTATTAAATATAATTATTATGTATACTTAAAATTTTGTATTTAAAAAAAAAAGACTATTAACATTTTGAAAATTTAAGAATATTAAAAAAAAGATCTACTGTAATAATAATGCATATGTTATGTATATATATGAGTTTATTAAAATTTAATATATTCAGTTAATTAAAACCACATTATATAATGTAATATTTTGTACACTTAATGCACATAAATGAGAAAAATATAAACTTGTAGCTAAAAATTTTGTAAAATTTTAGTAATAATAATTATTTTTTTTAAGTCAAAATCTAAGAAAATACTAAATTTTATTAAAATTTAAATAATTTAATATGTAATATGTGTGTGGGTATTATGAAATTGTTTAAATATTTAATTATTGTTTTATGGCGAAAATTATTTAAATAATACACAGTAAAAATATTAACAGTATATATTATTGTTATTTAATATTAGGTCATTAATTTTTAATGTACAAAAACCTTTAGTAATTTTAGTAATTTAAGTATATACATGAATATTATAATACAATGGTGGT